TACTATATATATGTATATATGTATACCATATATATTGGCACAGAGAGGCAAACAATGCAAGTTATTTATTATTGACATGCAGCGCTTGTGCCGCCCAGAGGGGTTATCAGTTGACAGTAGCAAGTTGCTGCCTCTGTGCAGTAGCACTGATAACCACAGCCAATGCCCCTGCTGCACTCCCTTCAACCCCTCCGCCCCAACACATACGCACACAACATAACCCTTGACAGAGTCAATGCAACAGAGGGAACTCGCGCTTTAAGCTTTTGTCGTTGAACGTTAGCATCGAGTACTTCGTGTTTATTTGATTTGATTTGGTTTGCATCCCGCCCAAACGGTTTATGCGATTTTCATTTATTTAAATGTTAGGCTTAGTCAAGTTTATGGCGGTTTATGGTCAACTTAGCCACAGACGCATGCTACATGATGACTATGCAAATGACACTCGACTCATTTCAAAATCAGACAGAGATAGATACAGACAGGAAGAGAGAGAGACAGACAGATAGAGAGATCTTCAATGCCGAGATTCGGAACTGTGACTTTTTATGACCTGTCAGCTGCCCATCAGACTGTAATTGATAAGCCATTCGAGGCCACAGCTATCGGTGAGTATTCTAATTAGATTGGACATTAAGTCAAAGTACGCTGCGCAAATATGATCGTTCAGTAGAGCTTCAATGAAAACCAGACTAAAGCCGATAACGATTGTCGCTTCGTTAACCGCATCCAGAAGATAAAAGAGTAACAGTTGCCAATATCTATCAAAATCAAATCGGAGCATAATTTAAATTAAAATTGAAGCTCTCGAAACTAGATAGACGTGAGCTTCGTCGTATATGCAAAAACATATTTTGATGCAGTTTGCTTTTATAAAATCTGAACAAATTTTTCTTTAAGTCTAGGCTGGAATCTTAAATCTTAAGAGCAGGCATAGACCTGGACCACCAAATAATATAGCTACCATAGGAACGATTGGTCGAAAATGAAGTTCTTGTATACAAAATATGTTTGTTAATCAAGCTATTTTAAGCAAACTCGGCTTTTATTAACTTCACAAGCCAAATCTTATCAACATCGGACAATTCTACAAGGGGTTTCAATCTTCAGCGTACCGAAGATGGCCTTCTTTCTTGTTTAGGTTATTTTTTACTTCAAAAATACTTTTGGGATTAATTCTATATATTTACGATGTTTTTCAGATTGACTAAGAATAAAGTTAGGCTTTTTTTCTCAGTGCTATTTCGAATGGGTAAGAAGTAGGTGAGAATTTATAGCTAATTTTTGGTAGCACCTGTTAAAAAGAATAGCCATTACATGGGCTGTTAATTGCCTCACATCATAAGACTGGGCAAAGTTAAAGCGTGCGAAGACTCTCTTATCGCTCATATAGCTTCATTAGCTAATGGCCACTTCATTATATGTGCATACAGCTGGGCCCAAAGAACGAGCTGTTCGGAATTTTATACTTGTGCTCGGCAACAAACCAATTAAAATATAGATCATGCCACAAGAACGAGAAAACAACAAGAACAATAACTACAAGAACGAGGCAGAGTCTGCAGATCATATCGCAGCCATTGCACAAACCGTTAACACAACTTTGGCCCCAGAGATTGGAGGCAGTTCGTGGAAGGCATTTAGCACGACAAGTCCAAGCAGAATGAGAAGCTCTTGCCTTCGATATCAGCCGCAATGATCTTGGCGGGCAACGCGAAGAACAAGCCATAAGCCCGAGACGAGACGATAATATTGCGCTTGCATGCTTGTTATGGCCAGGCTGGCCAGGTTGGCCAGGCTGGGCAGGCTAACTGGCAGATACGGTTACCGGCAGCGTTCTAGGAGGTGCTAAATGTGGCCGCAACAGTAGCAGCAACAGCTGCCGCCTTTGTGTATCTTTCAGATACTTTAAGCTTGTTTGCCATGTGAGTGGCCCGCAACTAAGCTCGCGCCGAAAACTTATAATATTTATGCAAATCGTAAATGGCCAAAAAGAAAGAAAAACAAAGAATCGGTTTAAACACGTTTCAAACCTCATTCAAGCCACGTTCTGTGCTACGTCTGTGTGAAGGCAGGTCTGAGCTTAATTTATTTAACACAGTTGGTGGTAAATTTAACACATTCGTGTGATTGTTATCTTTTGTATTGCTGTTTCCCAAGATTTCCTCTTGTTGATGAGATTGTTGTTGTTGTTGTGGCTGTTTAGCAGCTGCGCTAATCGATCACTCTGCTAAGTAAAGTCGTGGGCGTGGCTCAATAGGCATATCGCTTTTGAGCCCTGTAAACTGAGCATATGAAGAAGGAAAGCTTCCGAACGAGAGAGAGACTCCAGAGACACAAAGCTCTCGGTGCATTTGACCTGACAATGCAGCTTCATTAACATGCGTTGTAAGCTCTATACTCAATGATTAACACACAACAAATGGTCAATAAAATTAAACCAAAGCACCCAAAAAATTAACACCGAACAATGGGCCCATAAAAATCATTTGAAAGAGACAAGGAAAATTCCGAAACGTTAAAGTCGTAAAAAGTTGTTAAAAGAAAATCTACGAAAATTGTCCAGAATGTTCAAAATAAAATGGCATTAAAATTCAATTTAAATAAAATGCCTCGGCAAAAGGCATTTTAAAATGTAGCGCGTGTCACAGCAGCAGCAAAACACATAAAACTTGCGCACCAAATTGTGTGGAGTTGTGTGTAAGGGAGTTGGGGAGGGAAATAAAATATTTTTCAGATGACAACAAGCCGATCGATCGTGTAGGCCCTGCCCAGCTCTGGCTGATTATATTTCATATGGAAGTTTTATGACTAAAGGCTTAAAAATGAAACCGAGCGGCATTGAACTTTGCCAGAGCCAGTCGACTCCCTGTGGGGATGAGTTGCTGCTCTCCCATTGCTTGAGTATAAAATGCAATGGAAATAAAAATGTATTCGAGCCTCAGATGAGTTTCAGCTTGGCTGCGGACATTGGCCAACCCCTTTGCCAAAAGACTCACAAATCAAATGCAAATTATACTGCCTAATTGATTTATGGCTTAGCGCTTCTCTTTATTGCGCGCATATATCAAAAAAACAAAAGAGAAAGAGCATTTGTCCAGTCTGCAAACTTTGCAGCTTTGTCTTAATTAGTCGCCCAGTTGCTTAGCTTGCAGCGCCCAAAATGGCTGAAACGGCGAAAACGGAATGCGCGTAAAGCGCCCTCTGCCCACAGCCCACAGCCCGACGCCTGACTATCCCAATCGCAATCCCAATCCAAATCCAAGCATACGATACTTTGCATATTTGATTTCACGCCCAAAACTCAAAATGCATACGCAAATTATGCGCATCGTCGTCGGCGGCGGCAACAGAAAAAATGCAGCTCCCACACATGGCAACTGGAAAAAACTTTATCTAAACTTAACAAGCAGGCAGCATGCCAAACAACAACAGCAGCAGCAACAACAACAACAACAAGAGCACACAGTGGGCGGCAGCAGTTGTAGACTTGCCAAATATACGAGGGCTTAACCAAGCGACAGGCCTCGCACAGTGGGCTCAGACATGCTAAACATGCCCGGACTCAAAGGACGCACATAATAAAACAACCATTGATGAACTTCAAGGTTGCATAGATAAGCTTCGGATTCGTACACTTATGTACAGTTTATTTTATAAAGAGAAAATAAAATCTGAATTTTTGCAAAAAATAACAATTTAAACCTAAATTCTTATATTCAATAAAGAGGAGATAAGAAAGGGGAAATCGATCAAATCTAATTTTCTTAACTATGAGCAAAGTGAAACTAAAACTAAAGTTATATACATATATACAAAATTATATAAAACTCTCCTAAAGGACACTCCTATTTTTTCTCAAACTCTTATACCTACCTATACCGGCAGTCTCCGTCCGTCCAACAGAGTTTTAACTGTATATATGTATAATAATATTAAACGCAATAGAACTTAACAACGATGTCGGTTTTTGTCGCTTCAATCCCAGTTCGATACATGCTGCAAAGTATAACAATTAATACTAAATAATAGTATTTAGCTTAACGTCTCCTTGTCCCCAATATAAAACAAATAGTTGATTTTACAAATTTTAGCTACTCGTCGATTTTTCTTATAATCACTTGACTGTGTCTGATATGCATGGCCCTTGCTGCCCACTGTGCACAGTTGCTCCCCCACCAATACTAACACCATCACCAATGGCCAATACACACGCACAGCTGACGAAGATGCCTGTGTTCTGGCTTCTGCTTCTGCCTCTCTCTCTCTCGCTCTCTCTTTATCTTAGGCAGACGCTCCTGCTCTTGCTGCTGTTACACACTTCTCCAATACACCGCTTGCGTTTGCGGCTGCTCCAAGTCACGTTTCGCCTTTGCCTGTTTCAGCGTTGTTGTTGCCGCTGTTATTGTTGTTGTTTCCTTTGCCTTGTCATCTTGTTTGCGTGTCTCTTGTGTGACTATGTGTGTGTGCCCTTTTTTTGGTATTGGAATTTCAATTCCCAGAAATATTCAAAAATATTCCCTGGCAGTGAAATAAATTTAATGCTGCTTGTAAATTTTTGGTTTCGTTGTTGCTTATGCTTCTTCTTTTTACGAAGCGTAAAATTCCTTAACGAACCAACTGAAAGTTATGTATGCACATAGAAGAAACAGTTTTGTTGTTGTTGCCTTTTGCATTTACTTTTGCTTGATATTTGTTTATTTGTATAACTGTTTAACAACACCTGCAGCGACATGCGTGAAAGAGCGAGAAGAAAATGCACGAACGGGAGAGAGAGCGAGGGAGCTTCTAAAATTAAGCCAAAGCAAACAAATCAACATAATTTCGAACAGCAATTCATTTTTCGGTGAATGAAAAATTTAGAAAACTGTAGTTGCCGCATAATTGGTTGACACAAATGGAACGTCGCTAATTGCTTAACATTGTTGTTGTTATTATATCGAAGTGGAGAAATCAATAACAAAGGGCACGATTTTAAGGGCAAAGGGTGTGCAACTTACCAAGCAAACGCATCACCTCTTCCGGATTCAAGAACACGTTCAAATGCGCTGCTACGCCTCTGCCGTTGTGTAGGAGCAGCGCAGTTAGCGCAAACAACGCGAGCAGCATTTTGTTGTTATTGCCTATCATGCTTGTTGTTGTTTTAAGGCTTTTAATTGGCATTTTTATTCAAAATTTAGTAATTTTCGCTAGTTTTTACACATTTAGGCACGCACACAAATTCGTAAACAATCGAGACAACGAATGCGAGGCAAAGCACACGCGCAGAGGAAACAGCGAACGGCAGAGTGTTATAACAGCGGCGTCGCACATGCAAACGAAAAACGCGATTTTGTCGACATTTAAGAAGCTAAAGCATTTTCACACATGACACAACCCATTAACTAAATATTTAACACAATTTTAGACGCGAGTTTTATCTGTTTTCTCAATTTTCTCTGCATTTACCGGCCGCAACAACCACACAGTTCAACAGAAAATTTATGAATAACAGGCCTGTTAACGCAAAAGTTGTTAGCTAACAGAAATAGTTACCTAAAATGTTAATGCTCTGCAAAGCGCCTGTTAGAACAGCTGTTTTGTATTTGGCGCGCTGTATTTAAACATTGAATTAATATATTCATCTTGTTATCAATAAATGTATCGTTTCCACTTAAATCTATTATTAATATCAATATTACTCGGACACAAATGTCAGCTGGATTTTCATTTTAGTTAAGAGTAGCGCCTTTGTTACACGATTTTCTCTTTTGCTCTGCTGTTGATTTAACAGTGTGGCAGCAAGCAAAAGTAAATACCACAATAAAAATTATCGCATGCGCCATCTAGCGTGAAGTGAAAACATAACCGACACCTATGGTGGTGCGTAGTACAGTTTTCAAGAGTAGGGGAATTCGTGCATTTGTGGATTCTGTTGCTCAGGTGAAGTAAGCAGTTATATTTAAAAATGTATTTTACCACAATTTAGAATAAGTTTTTTTAAATAAAGTAATTTAAAGGATTTTTTAACTTCAAATAAGCTGTTATTTACGACTACAATTTAAATAATACATGGATACAGAATATTCAATAGCTCTCTCTAGATCTCAATTTATAAAACTTTTCGTTCTGACTGAAAATGCGGATCAAAGATTATTTGAGTGAAGTTGTAAGTCTAGTCCGATCGGCTTTTCAAAGTCCTAACGATGAACTTTCTTTGCTTCAGCGATTTTGAAAATTCAATTCGCAACTGTGGAAATTCGGTGGAAATAATCTTGTGTATCAAGGCTTGGTCAGTAATAGGTAAGAGCAAAAAAAAGAGAGTATTGACAGATATATATACAGTTATCCATATCGTTCCTATGAGAAGGGGGTACCGGAGACTTTGGCGCCAAAGCTATGCACAGTTTTGATTTATTCATGTTTAGTATTTGTTATCAGTAGGAAAATACGGAAATTGGGAACGATTCAAACTAGTTTCGCATTCGCGTAGTAAACCTTTGCTAGAGCTGATTAGATAGCGGCAATCACGTTTTGTTATCAAGATCTACGCGGCCAGTGGGAAGCGAACGGGTTAGTTTGTTGTTTGCCACAATGCCTAACAGCTGCCAATTGGGGCGCCGCCTGGCGTTGCTCTGCCTGGGACTCGGCCTGCTGCTCCGGCTGGCGGATGCGATGCGCTGCAAGGTGCCCTACGAGAAGGTGCAGGACAACTATTGCTACTTCGTAGCCCACGAGAATCCCCTGGTCAGTAGCAGCCTAGTCCAACTCGATTGGATCTGACATTTACCTATGTATCTGCACGCAGCCCAACTCGTTCAGCAACTTTTGCTACCAGGAGAAGCGCACGTCGCGCGTTTGCCTGGACAGCGAGGAGGAGATGCGAGTCCTGGCCAATTATCTGTACGAGAGCGGCTACCAGAATGGCACCCAGTTCTGGAGCGCCGGCCATCGCTGGCCGGGCGATTCCCGCTTCTATTGGAATTACTTTGGGCATGCCCGCAGCATGAACTACACCAACTGGCTGGAGGGGGAGCCCACGCCTCGGATGGGTCGCAACTGCATGCTGCTCACACTCCAGGCCGGCGAGCTCTTCATGTCCACCGAGTCCTGCTACACCCGGGCCGTCGACATATGCGAGCAGCTGCTCACCAGCGAGCCAACCATAATGCACTGAAAGCTTTCCCGAACGACAATCTTATTATTATCGGTCAGAAGTGGATCCTTGACATGCTTATCGATTTCGCTTTGTTTATTGTGGGTGATTGCAAAAGTATACAACATGATATTGTAGTTATAAAGGCAAACGTTTATTATTTTTTGTCTTAGTGTGAATCGTTCAAGTTGTCAAGACGGAGAAAACAATGCGGCAAAGCTATTTCGATCGACTTCTGCTCCTTATATTGGCCGCTAAATCTTGCCAATGTAGTATCACGTTCGATAAGGTCGGCGACTCGCACTACTTCATAGGCAAAGGAAACAGTGTATGCAATATTTATAAATCGATAGACGATTGGCTGATTGGTGCTTGTTGTTTCAGGATGATCAAATATTCGACTGGTATGATGCGCGTCGCAGTTGTCAGGCTCAAGGCGGCCAGCTCGTGTCCGTGCAGACGGCCAAGCAGATGATTGAGCTGGAGAGCTATATAATGGGTCGGGGATATCCCAATGGAAGCCTGTTTTCCACATCGGGTCACAGCTTCGAAAGTGAATATCCCTTCAAGTGGAGCGCGCTGGGTAAGAGCCTGACGTACACCAAGTGGCTGCCCAACGAGGGTCCGCCCCTCAATTCGTTTTTGAGCCTGCAACTTGTCAACTCGGAGCTGTTTATGGTCACATCGTGGGGCTTCGATCAGTTCTATATATGTGAATATGAGACAATGGGAGTTTGGCTAGTTACTAACTTATATAATCCATTTTATTTGATACTTGTGAGCCTCATATTAGTGTTCTTATTATTGACAATCAAAAAGAAAAGAGCGATACCTGAAGAGGAACAACTGCTTAAAAGTTAACGTAGTATTGTTATATCTATATATCTATAAGTTATGTATATATATTATTCTAATACCCATCCACATTCAATGTCATTGACTTCGATATCCCGAACCCATTGCAAATGTGTAATGCATGCAACAGGCAGAAGGAAGCATCTTAATTTGAAGGTTAATCATCCCAGTGGCCACGCAGCACGAATTTGTTTCTAATCAAGTTGGTGACTTAAGCTCTTGAAATGATTTCGTTATCGATTCTTATCAAATGCTTGAAATCGCGATAAGTCGATTGGCGTACAATTTGCACCTGTAGGGGCTTTTTAGATCGACCTACAGACAAAGAGTCAGACCTAACCATAAATGTGTGCATATATTTTATAAGGTTAGATTACATTCTGAACTTAAATATTAGCACTAACAAATAACACAGAAAACAATAAATACCCAATTGTATATATGTATATATATTCTGTGATTGCGATCCCATAAAGACTTCGAACTTGCTCGGGTCTGTAACTCTCTCACTTGAACAGAGAGCAAAAGAGTAAGAGAGACATATGTGTTCGCCTCGTTCCCACTACAGAAAACTGCCTTCGCTTACTCTCAGTGATCTCTCTCTCTCTCTCAATAGATCTATATAGCCCGTAGAGTACAAAAAAGAGAGAGGTGAAAAGTCACTCTGAGCTTTTATTACCGTTTTAAGACTCAAGCAAGGTACATTGGATTGTTCTGCAAACGCAAAATCAAACACAAAAAATAAAGACAATTTACCTTAGGAAGCAACGCACTTTTCATCTCTTTCTATATCTATATGACTCAATGAATTGGACGTAAGACAATTGTTTTTTTTAGAGATTAAATTTTATTTAATTGCAAACCTGATTTCTGTAATGGGATTTCTCTATAATGTACATCAATTTGACAACTGTAGCTCGCAGGCAAATGCCATTTTTTGTCGACAGCTCGCGGTGGACATAATCAGTTCCGATCCGACATACTCCAGGTACACACAGAAGCCGGAAGGGAAGCGAGTTAAGTTCGACTGCTGCTCGATAAAGTTAGAAAAGTTCATGGGATGCGGTTCGTGGTGCCAGTAAAAACTCTCCAATGAACTATGGTCCACTTCGATCTGGGCCAGACTACCGCGATGTCCGCCGCTCCAGAAGAACGGGTGGGTGCCAGGATGCGCATAACGGCCAATGTAGTTGGACAGGTAGCGCATCTCCTCGGCGGTCTTGACAGTCAACAGTCGAGCATTGGCGTCCAGTGTCTCGCAGGCGAAGCTGGCATGTAGCCAGTCAAGCTGGGAATGAGAAGAGGCGAAGTTAGCCCTGAAGAGATCAAAAGAAGGTTATTCCGAAAGGAGACTCACTATGGCGGGCACACTGAAGATGCGGCCGTTATACGATACTTTATAGTACTCATAGGTGGGCTACAAGATAAGATTAAGGATATATTATACGCACAGGAATAAGGATATATCAGACGCACAGCTTTGTTGGTGGAAAAGAAATAGCAGTTGTCGCCGATCTCCACGAAGGGCTTCATACAGCGGGCTGTGAATGTCCAAATGAGGCCAAATGAGATAAATTAACCAGCATGCCCACAGAGACTTACGTTTCCAGAACTCCAAGTAGATACAGGCATAACTGGCCAATATGAGCAGGACAAGAATGACTAGCTCGCAGGACCTACCCGACGCCATCATCTTCTATGCAAATGGAAACTGTGCTGCGAATCGAAGGGCTCAACGGCTTTTATAGAGCTCCAATCTACACATCGACTGTTTTCACTGAAAGTCAATTGAAACTGGCGACAAATGGTTTCATCAGAAGTTGGGTCTGCTGTAGACGCTATCATGTATCCTAGTATTAACTCCGTACTGGGTGCGGCCAGGCCAGAACTCAGCGCTTGCTTTGTTTGTTTCCACAAGTAGAATATTGCATTGCATGCGATCAATTTCTGCAGCCAATATGATCCATATCGAAAACCTCCATAAATTCTATGGAGTTAAAAGATTATGAGAATAATTTAAGAGTAAAAAACTACATGGAATACAACTAAAATGAAAGGGGAGCCCAGCTCTGATCGGACAGGTGCGTTTAATAATTAGAAACAGTCGGAAGCCGGTAGATGACATTGAGGTGAGCCCAATCAGTTCCAAAGATATATGGGAGATACAGAAACATCGGCATTAGTGAAAAGTGTCAAAGGGTATGAAATCCGTATTCACCGAATAAATTCCTTAACCAGAGAGTATTCTCAAATAATACCTGCTTTGCTGTCAGTTTAGAATTATGAAATTATAGTTTCATTTTTATTTTCTCTTAACAGAGTAGGAACTATTGCCTGGCTTTGTCTGCGCCAAGATATCACTCTATTATATATTTTACATTCTTAGTCGAAAAATCAACATTCGTTCTATAAATCTTTGGTCCATATTTTCTATCCAAGACCTACATCACATAAGGTAACTACAGTAAAAGTAAGCTCTCACGGTTTGGGCTATGCGTTGTGCATCAATCAGTCAGTCAGTCAGTCAGTCAGTCAGTAAGGAAAAATAGTTTTGAATATAGAGATAATTGAAACAGAGTAGATTATAAAATTAATAAAATAAAAATAAAATAAAATAAAAATAATTTTGTTCAATAAAGATTATATAAACTGTAATAACTCTCTGTAGATTGCAACCGCTGCTTGTTACCTGAGCAGCATCTATGTACTTATAAAGGCGCCTAACTTTTGCACCTCTCGCAAATGCTGTTCCAAATTTATGACATAAAGTGCCGAGTTTCTAATTTAATAACTCAGTATTTCAAACTCATTCCAGCGAGTGGAGTGTCTGTCGCCTTGTAATACAAATACATTTTGACTAAACGCTTTTAAGCAGTTAGCGGCCGCTCACGACTCACGAGTCACGACTCACGAGTCACGCGAACGGAAGAGAAACTTTTATGCTCCTACTCGACGCGACGCGACAGTTGCGGCAATTAAGTCAAATTGATAATGACGACTAAAGTTGTGGGTGGCTGGGAGTTTGTTGTGGAGGCTAGTGGGCGTGGCTGTATTAAGGAGTTTATGTGTGTGTGTGTGTGTGTGTGTGTAAATATGGCCACCTTCTGGCTGTGACGTGATTTCGTTTGTGCATGCAAATGGCGACACATTTCGACACGTCCCGAAGCATTATTCGGTTCCGTTCCGTTCCGTTCAGTTCAGTTCAGTTTAGTTTTGGTGCCCTTTGGCATAATTAAAATGAAATAATTTTGGACAAGTTGGCTGCTTTGGCTCTTAACAGCTTTTCGGCAGCTATTTGCATTCGCCTCCATTCCGGCTGGCACGTAGCGGCAGTTAGACGGTCTGCGCCATATGATGAAAACTTCTGAGCACTTTTTCCCCCCAGATCCTGCTCCCAGCTCCCGGCTCCCGGCTCCTGCTCCAATGTCTTTTGTGTTGTTCGTGTTGGAATTTTTATTTAATTTGCTCCGACTGACGTCGTATGCTGCTTGCTGGCTGTTGTCTTCTGTTTGTTGCATTGTTTGAAATTAATTTCACTTGTCGTACTCGCAACCCTACCAGGCCGCGTTGTCCTGCTCCTCGTCAGCCTCGGCAGCACGGTGTGGCGTGTGCGTGCCGTTGTCAATGGCGCTTAACGCTGCATAGCTGAAACACCGGAGCCAAGGACAAAGTTAGAAGTTGGCAGCAACTCGACTTTGCTTGAGCACTTGACTCCCCCCCCCCCCCCCCCTCTGTCTGACTGGTGCCTGGTGCTTTATCCCAATTTGCAGTCGATCGTTTGCCAAATCAGCGCGCTAATCATTCAGCCCGTACAGGCAATGCTTCACACTCGCCGGCAGGCGCACTCACTCAATGGCATTCAAGGATGTCAACAGCTTGTCGCTGCTCCAAGGCCCTGGCCCTAGACCGAGTTACTAGGCAATCCAACGCACTCGCACTCGCATTTTTTTCGTTCAGCCGGAAGTAGTAAACCCATAAATGTCAAAGGGGGAGAGACTGCGGGTCGACTGCCATCAGCAGTTGTAGTCGTTGTCAGCGCATTTCTGTTGGCTAACTTATGTGGCATCCGCAAACGGCAACTCTGCCCCTGCTTCAGAGTCCTGGTCCTGCTGCTCGTCTGTTTTGTCATTAATCACTGACAATAATGAACTTCCGTCGTTTGTAGTCGCAAAATGGCGCCGACTTTCAGCGATTGCAACTGCTGCCGATGCAGCTATCTTTCCTGCTCCTGCTCCGGCTCCATTTAGTGCTGTTGTCATTAGCGCAATGTTGCAAAATTTATCGTGTGACTTATGGAGAATACACAGCAAACAGCTGGACAGACTGGAGCTGAGCTGTGCTTAGCCTGGCCAAGACCAGGCCAAGAGTGCGGCTACCATGATGGCTGCCCTCTGTTTTGGTCATCTGATTTTATCGCTTCGATTTACGACTCATAAAAATGCTAGCGACTTTATATGCGCCAACATCCCGACTGCTTATCCCCGTCTCTCTCGCTCCCTCTCTTGTATGGACCGCGTTTTGGGGCAACTCCCAGCGCTGTTTTTCCCGATTTTTATGCTCGACTACCCTCACCCTCACCCTCACCATGCCTCCGGCTCTGCTGCTGTCCGCAGGACAGTTTGTTGCATGAATGTCTCTATGTACATTTTATGGGCATTTAGTGATGCAGAAAATGTTTCGATATTTTTATCCGCCCAACAGCATCCATCGAACCAAAAAAAATAACACAAAGCGAAAGCGTACTAAAACTATTAAAGGCTGGAGTTCGAAATGAGCCAGACTCAAACTCTGATTTATGATCCAAACTAAAATTCCTACACAAATTTATTTCGAATACTTGCAATTCTCGACGCAACTTTAAGTCGAACATAAACAATATAATTATTCGAAATCACTTCACAAACATATATAATCGAGTTTCTATATTATGTTAAAGATACACAAATGGGCAAAATAATTAAAAGAAAACTATTACAAAAACAAACAAAATCAAAGAATTTTCTAAAAAATGTTGAGGTCTAATATTTAGCCTGCGCAAAATGTATCCCGTAAAAATGTATTTCTATGTATTTTCCGTACAGGATAGATATATTTCCCTAAGAAGTTATTTAAACTAAAATATATATATAAATGTATTTCTAAGGGATTTTCCCCGTACAGGATAAATGTGTAAAGGACATATATTTCCCTAAGAAATTGTTTAAACTAAAACAGGAATAATCCATATTTATATAAATACTTATATTTATCTATTTAAAAACCCCTACCCCCTATTTTATAGGGCTGACATCAATTTGCAGAGCAATTTAGTCATAATACAAAAGGTCTCTAACCAATATGTATCCAGCAGCTGGCTTCGAGTGAAAGAACAACAACAAGTTGCATTTGACAGTTATTAGATTAACACCTACATGTACTCGGATACTTGCATAGACGGATAGTCGGATACTCGATTACTCGATACTGCCTGAATTTCAGCAAACAATAAAGCGCTCAAAATGTGTGCGAGCATACATAAAATCCCGGCCAGACAACGAGGATGGTGACAAAACAAAAACAACTGAAGGGCAGTGTCCAGTCCGGCTCGGGGGCAGCTGGATAACAATGATGACGATGATGACGATGATGTTGACCAGGAGCGGCAACAAGCGATGTCAATTTCAGACAAACAGCCCGGCTATATGCAAAACCCAGCTCTTAACACATGTATATATAGACTAATGTATATGTGTGCAGGATATAGATAGATGGCTTGTGGAACGCTCAAGATGTGACAGCCGCCCAACGATTTGGTTCAGCCCCCGGATTGCACATTTCGAGCTACATAAAAAGGCGCTTACGGTGTGGTGTGGTCGTCCAGGAGAAGGGGCACAGCTGGAACAGGAGGCCAGTTGAAAGCTGTCAGTGGCTGTTTGGATTTACGTGCCGCACTGCAGCAATGTCCGACGACAGTCGGAGTCGGAGACGGAGACGGAGGCGGAGACGGAGGCGGAGACGGATGTATGGCCATCAAGAGGTGTGACAGGCAGACCCAACCCCAACACCCGCTGCACTTTGTAACAATGCAAAAACAACAGAGCACACACACACACTCTCACACACACACAACAGCACGGGGCTGATTGTCATAGCTCTGACTTTTTGTTAATGAAAGTGTCAGCTAGACAAACGCACCCAAACCAAAGGACCTCATTGAACAGGGCCCCCGTACCGACTAACGTTCTGTTTGAATTCGACCTTATTGTAACGGGCTCATGGAAATGCTTTTCATTTGGGCCAATAAATTATGATCAGGCCGATTTGAAGAGAGCCTTTTGTTTACACCGAGCCCAACAGCGTGTGGTTATTCGTGACATTAAAATGTCCTGCACAGGATTGGAGCAATTCCGTTTGTTCTACGTCGAAATTAGTTGATAAAATGTTGAATATATACAGATTATATTTGGTAATCCGTGGTTCTCCATACTTTATGACCGTGCTAACGTGCTCCTATTAATGTTAATCTACACAATGATTTTGATAGTATTTAATCGAAGATTAAAAGTAAGAATTTAACTGTACATATACATAAACTATAATATATAATATATATATGCTAATATAAACCTTCAGCTCCCTTAACCTTTTCTGGCATTTCTAATTGGAGTTACATATCCCCACAACTTCCGCAAAGATCGGCGATATCGACAGATAATTTTAATCTTTCCTATAAGCTCTTCCTGTATTTTATATGTGTACACATTAAAGCTCAATATAAGGTTAATTTATTGCTTCATACAGATGGGCCGCATTCTCTATATGTTAGCATGAGATAAAATTTAATTACAAGTTGCAAATATGAGCATGTAAGTAACAGGCGGCCATTAAGAGGTAGTATCCATAAACAAACATACTAATAGTAGCTACATCTGTTTCACATCACATACACATCGAGGTGATCAACTCGGATTCTACGTGAAGTACTATAGCTCTCATTAATCCCGGTTTTTGTGATATTATCGCTGCAATTTCGGCAATTAAAAAGCCAACAATCTCATATCGCCAGTTTGGCATCTCGGCTGCCTCTGGCTTATGTCCCATTATCCTAAACGCTTCCAGCTCAATTTACATACCGGGGCGTGGTTAGCTCGGGCGCAGAGCCTCCGCCGCATTATTAAAACGGATAAATCGCGACGTGCAACGGCGTTGAATGAAAGTGAAAACCTGTGCGTGGGTAATTAAAAAGTCAACGCCGCGAAGGCAGCGCACAGATAAAACCTAATTCGCATGCTGAATTTTAATTAATTAAGAGCGCAGTCGAATCCAGAGACGGGGGATATATATGTACATACATACAGGGAGCTAGAAAGATAGATAGATAGGCAAGTCACGTGTCTCGTTCGCGCCCAGAAGAGACCAAAGTAGGTTAATGCGCTTAGAGATGCGGGGGTTAAAGTGGGCGAGTGGAGGAAAGGGCGCCAGCTTGGGCTCCCTGTCAGACGACGTAATTGGTGGCGTTACAAAATATTTACAGTTACCGTAACATGGAAATGGAAAAAGATGATAAAGTGCGCAAATGTTTGCACTTTCCCTTTATGAGTCTTCAGAGACATTTAGGTGTTGAGGCGCTAAACGCTTGCCCCACCCCCTTCCGCCCACGTCCTGTTGCCAACGTGTCGATGGGGGGGGGCAGGCAAATTTTCTGGGGGCTGTTTGCCTGTCGACGCCTTGATAAGCAAATATTACAGATATGTATAGAGAGATGAAAATTTATTTAATGTATTTCATTCGCTTAAGGTCTCCCTCTCTGCCAGGGGGGGGGGGGGGGGGCTTTTGTTGCCCAAGTAGGCCAAGCGGGCCAACACAATTTGATACATATTTCGTTGGCATTTGCACAGAGTAGCCCATTCAAGCAACAACATTTTGGTCGCCGTCTCAAAAAGTCTTGTTCTATTTAAATACTTTCTGTGCGAGTATAATACATCTGATACATTTTTTTTTTTAAAGAACTATGAATGACAAAAAGTGCCCGGACCTTCACGAGCGGGCCAAGCGCATCCACGAGCCGGGCAGAGTATGTCGCGAGCTGCTTTACTTGCGCTCGAAGCGGGTAAGTCGCCAGCTATTACAGGGAATACTTCCTTCTAATCCATCAACCCTGCTCAGGTCAAGCGTGAGGTGCCCGCTTTTACCTATCAGGCGCTGCAGAAGGGCACAGTGGTAAAACCGCCCACCAAGTGAGTTGCTCACTTTATACTGGATAGCTACAGGTTAATCCTTGACGTGTTTGTGTTCACAGAATTGACATATTCAAGCGTCAGCCGGTGAAGGAGACCGTCTTTAAGATCTACTTTATGCGCGGCGACATTCCCGTGGCTCTCTCTGGACGCAGCAACAAGCAGGACCCCACCAAGGATCGACCGTTACGCTGGCATTGCATCCCCGAGGATCTGGACTATTGCTACTACCTGCCCATCTTTCTGGACGGGCTGGCCGACATAGACAGCGACACACGCCTGCTGGCGGTCAATGCAGCCGTTGATCTGATCATGCGACAGCCCCACAAGGTGCTCCCAGTGCTGCCCAAGCTGATACTTCCGCTCAAGCGCGCCTTCCAGACCCGTGACAAGGGCATCATCATCTCGGCCCTAAAGGTGCTGCAGTTGATGGTGCGATTGGGTAAGTCGTTCTTCCTAATGCAAATTTTAGATTTGTCTTATCCCTGAAACCGTTTAGGACCTTGCGTCGGCCAGGCCCTGGTGCCCTTCTATCGCCAACTGCTGGCCGTATGCAATCTCTACAAGAATGTCAATGTGAATTTGGGCGAGGGCATCGATCCAGATCGCAGCAAGCGCATTGGCGACGTCATCGAAGACACACTAAAGCTACTTGAGTTCTGTGGGGGACCCAATGCCTTCATCAACATCAAGTACATGGTGCCGACCTACGAGAGCAGCGTCTTTCCGCGCTGCCAGGCCGCCGATGTGCAGGACGTGAGCGCCAAGCACTAATGACAGTTCCAAGTTTCTTCCAACTTTTGACAAACTTGTTTTGGTTCGGTTGCTTAGGTTATAATTAACTGAAAATTATCGTCAATTAGGTTCGAAATTTTATGCAATAAAGAAAATCGGTATGGTTAGAGCTATACTACACTAAGCTGGATTTTTAGTATCCTTTTCCAAATCTTTCCCAAAGTGAAACCAACTTAGATCGAATAAGAACTGTAATTCCGTTAAATTCCCAAGGGAAATATTTGTCGTTAACTTGTAACTAAGCCAATGTAAAGGTCCTTTAGGACTTACCCGAGCTCGATCTACTAGTTCGGAAACTACTTTTAAAGGCTTGCAAGATATTACTATATATTCAAGAAGAGTATTCCTCTGCCTACTTTCAGCTTTTTGTGAAGTACCCTTTGCGTAGGTACTAGTTTCCAGTACTGTACAACCTCTATATGATGAACATTGATGTTAATTTCTTGTACTCACCCTATGCTACCTCAAAGTCAGGCCATCTGTTAGCGATTTTCTATTTCAACAACGCGACGGGGATAACAACGCGAATGATAAATGCCTAATTAATTTTTTAATTTTCAAAACAAGCTTCTATCGTGCAGGCATTTTTCAACGCTGAGACAAGCGGCCGTAAATAAAAAGCTCATTACAATAAATCATAAAATAAAAATTGTTCAATCCGCCGGCTGGCCTAATGGAATATCCATGTAGAGTACCGACTGTCGTCTGCCCTGGCAGCTACATTTGTCTAAGGATGCGTGTGAGAGGGTGTGTCTCTGCCTCTCTGCCTGACTGTCTGCCTGTCTGTCTGTCTGTTTGTCAGTTGGCTTTTCCCGTATCTGGCCAAAATCAAGCATTGGGCTACACTCCTGACTTCTGACTGCTGCCGGCGCTTTTCACAGATCGAAGAACGAGCACACTTTAAAATTAATTTAGTTAAATTGCCGCATTGCGGGGGCTGGAATTGGGACTGTGACAGGGGGGTTGTTGGTGGGGATAGGAATATGGGAGGTGGTTTCTGTGGCTGTGTTGCGCTTTTCAACGTAATTAAATACGACCCTCCATAATTTTGAAAAACAAATCTTGTTATCAGCGCGAACCAACACAAAACAGTTGCTCCTGCCGCAGCTCCAGTCAGTCGTTGTCCTGGTCCTGGTTGGTCAGCTCGCCGGCAAGGCCAGTTTAGTGGTTGCCCGGCTGCCCGGCTGGCTGCCCGTCTACCCGTCAGCCCGGCTGGCTGGTTGATTGTGGTGCGTAGATAAAAACCTGCCAAGTGTTGCAACTCAATTTGCCCCCCCATCCTGTTCGATGGTTAGCCAAACCACCCTCCGATTGGTTGCTTCGTTCCACCACACAAGTTCTTAATTCACTTTCTGGGTATAACGTTGAATTTTGTTGTATTTTGTTGTACATTTTTTTTTTTTTAATCTCCTGTTGACGGTAAATCAAACAGTCCCCCTGGGTGCAGCGACGTCAGTTGAAGACCCACCCGTCAGATAAATTGCATTTGGTTGCTTGCGAATTTTCATTTTCGTTTTCGTTTTTATTGTGCTGCTTCCAATGGCGTTAAAACGTTTTGACATTTTTACGCAGTTTTTGAACAATTTTTATTGCGTCTCATCGCTGGATGAGGGGCGCGGCAAAGGGTTCGCCGCGGGGCGCTAAACTCTGATTTAGGTGGAAAATTGCGCAAAGAGATTGAAAAGCTGTTGGGCAACTGTGATCAGGCCAAGACTCTTAGCACTTGGAATTAAATCCGAGCTGCTTTGCCGCTGGCAGGAAGAGCCACACAACCTGCTTGATTCGATGCCCAGGGGAGCATTTCCGTCACACACACACACACACACTCGCTCCACTCACATATTCATATGCATTAACTTATGACCATGTCCAGAGTCCAGACTGCGGTGGCTGTTCTGCTGGAAATTGCTTTAATATACCGGAAATTGGAGGAGAGTTGCATAAATTGACACGAAACGCCCCGTGGGCACAATCCAATGTAATGGGCCACAGGCCTCAATGCGGCTTGGGAAAGCGAAAGTGTTCAAAGTGGACAAGGCCAAAGTCTATAGCTTCAGCACTTCCTCCCAGAAGCTAACAAAACTAACAAAATATCAACTGTTGAAAATGACAAAATATATAAGAGAGGAATAAGAAGAAAGAAAATTGAATAGGCTGGACAGTCTTTCTAATGTTCGAAATGACGAACTTTAGATAATATAAATAAATATAATATTTATATAATATAAAATATATATAAATGTTTTTGTTACGGTTTTAAACAAAACGATCAGCAGCATTTTAGCTGGCAATTTTGGCGAATCTAACTTTAAAACTGCGAATAAAATAGATTTTTGCATTTAATTCGGGTTTTTTTAGAAATTGTACAGATCCAAAATTCTATCTTTGACTTTGTTTTCAGGTCGTACCTGAATGTCATTAGTTTTTTTATTCCTTTATAATCTTAGAAGTTATCAGAATTTGTTCAAAGCGTTGCATTGCATATTTGACTATATCTCAGTTTTGGATGCGATACAGTCAAACTATTGAAAAGCTTGTGCAGAAGTATTTCAGACTCACCTTCAACACTGTAAGCTATAATTTATTAAAAAATTACAATGAACAAAGGCATAAATGGACTTAAATGCATAATCGATATTAATAGCTACTTCTTTTGGCATTCTCATATTCTTCTTCCCACTAACTATTATGGCCAGAAAGGCGTGAGTTTTGAATGTTTAAAAAGCATGAAATAACCAAAGTTTATATCAAGCTGGATTGAACTATAAGCCTAACCGTTAGGTATATGTCTTAACCGGCTAAATAAGAAACATTTAGGAAATAACTTTTCACTTAACTCTCGTTTTCCAGCTAAGCTTGAGCTATTATGTGGCCATTGCGGCTGTGTTTCTAGCGTCTGGCATATTTTGCGACTTGCTTTGTCGAAATTCGATTCGATGTTCATCCAGTCACGACCCGGCATAAAGAGTCTGGATTCGAGCTTGGCGCAGATGCTCAAATTTCGCGAACTGCGTCGAATCACGTTCGCTGCCCGGAAGCAAATCGAAATTATCACCAATTTGCAGTCATCGAAATCCAATTACGAGGCGTGTGTGTAGCCACGAATCCTGGCCAGGACAATGCTGCCTCTGTCCGCGTTCTTGCCATATGCTGGCAGCAATACAAAACGAGTGCAGCGAGTGCAGCAGCCCAAGCCGAATACGGAGATGGGTCTGGGGTCAGGAGTAGACAATAATCGGATTAGGTTGGCTGGCCTCGCCAAAAACATAATTTGCGAGAAATGTCACACGGCGACTGCCCGGCGACTTATTTGCAATTTGTGAAATGGAAACGAGGCGAAAGTCGAGTGGAATTAAGGGGGGTGGCAGGGCCAGCACGGACTGCTGGGCGGGTTGTAACAACGTACTAAATCATGCATGTCAAGTCGAGTAGTTGTCGTCTCTATCAAACCCATCATAATCGCCGACGCGCACGCATCATTATCGGGATCGGGCCCTTGCTCTGGCTCTGGCTCTGGTTTGGCCAGCATCCGTTCAGTTGGGGGTGGGTTTCGTCTCTTGGGTGCCACTGTTGTTGTTTAGTTCCGGCATGCGACAGATGCAGCAGACGTGCCGCAGTCTGTGGCGAAAACCACAAGCGGCTCTCGAAAGAGCGCCACCCCGGCCCACCATTGTTCCCGGAGCTGTCACTACTCATTGTCAGCTAAGTGCCGGGCAATGGGCGGAGATGACAACCAGGAGGAGGGGCAGTTTGTTCGGACGGACAACAAGTCGTGGCAGCAGCAGCAACAACAACGGCAGCTGCAGTAGCTGAGCCCATTTTCATTTTTAAGAGCCCTAAACCAAATTTGCTTCTCTCACAGCAACCTGCTTTGAGTTGAGAATGTGCAAAAAACGTCCCTGCTTGCACATTGGAATCATGTCTGATTTTTACTTAAAATACGAAAAATATATCTAACAGCCAAGTCGATATAACCATGTCCGTCTGTCTGTTTCTATAGAAATCGTCGGGTAATTTTCTAGGTCCTTCCTTTGTTACAGGCAGCATATATCCTTTATGATCACATCTATATCCTATAACTATCATCGATCTCTTCCTTTTCATCTTGACAAGGCACTAATGTTAACCTAATGAAATATGATCAATGCCTTATCAACATCAGGCCGCTACTTCGTATAGATTTATTGGACAAATCGGACCAATTCCGAGTTTTTATCAAAAATATTTCTATTTTTTAGTTACCATTACTTAACTCAACTATTATCGTCACTCCCGTATCTAATCGGACTCATATATTTTGAGTCTAAAGGAACAACAAGTCTAATATTTAAGCACTTTTTATAAAAGTAGCTATCTTTTTTTCCCCTAATATTTCGCTTATCCTTCTTTCTTTTCCAAGTCGATTCACGCACATTTTTCAAACGTTTTCGAACCACTGTGCTGGCCTAGGCCACCCGCTAGGCAGCAGCAGCCGCAGCGACAGCAGAGATGGTGTCTGCGTTGTGCACTCAAAACGGGAAACGATAAGACGGCAGACGCAGCGGCAGAGGCAGATTGGGAGCGGGATGCTGGTTTCTGCTGCACTGCACTCGAAGGTGAGGGTGAAAGTGAGGTTGAGGGTGAGGGTGAGAGTGAGGCAGTGGGTAACGGCGGGGGTGGGTGCCCGACACCCGACAACAATAAAAGAAAATTCAATGCGTTTTGTGATAATTTCGCACTATACAAGAAACGAGAAATGAGATGCGATAAAGAGGACGATTCCAGACCTAAAGCCGTAAACGAGCAAATAATAAAAATTTTATATAGCAAAGCGGTACAACAAGAAAATAAAATATTATTATAATGCGTCGGACGATGCATATAGTATGTGAGGTTGTATAGGAAAAACATGAGTGTGAATAGTCAATGAGTGCCAGGGGTTGGGGGTGACCCGGGTCGGCTGCGGATCGGGCGTTGGGTCGTCGGATCACTGTGGGTAACCGGATGCTCGGGGGGTGGTTGGTGGCTTGAATTCTGTTTTGATGACGGTGTTGGTGGTGTTGGTGGTGTTGGCGGTGTTGGTGGTGGATATCAAACGGCAACAATGCAATCAAAATTTTCGTTTCCTTTACCTTGGTGCAAATT